CTGGAGAATGTTCCATGTGCACTGGAGAAGAATGTATATTCCACTGCTTTAGGATGAAATGTTCTGAATATATCTGTTAAATCCATCTGGTCCAGTGTCATTCAAAGCTGTTGTTTCTTTGTTGATTTTCTGCTTAGATGATATGTCCATTGCTGTAAGTGGGGTGTTGAAGTCCCCTACTATTATGGTATTATTATCAATGAGTTTCTTTATGTTCATGATTAATTGATTTATATATTTGCGTGTTTCCACGTTGAGGGCATAAATGTTTATAATTGTTAGGTCTTGGTGGACGTACCCCTTAATTATGATATAATGCCCTTCTTCATCTCTTGTTACGGTCTTTATTTTAAAATCTAGATTGTCTGATATAGGTATGGCTACTCGAGCTTTCTTTTGGTGACCATTAGCATGATAGATGGTTCTCCATCCCCTTACTTTCAATCTGAAGGTGTCTTTATGTCTAAAATTGGTTTCTTATAAATATCATATAGATGGATTTTATTTTCTTTTCCATTCTGATACCCTATGCCTTTTGATTGGAGCATTTATTCCATTAACATTTAGAGTGAGTGCTGAAAGATAGGAATTTATTGCTATTGTGTTGTCTGTAGAGTTGGAGTTTCTGGTGGTATTCTCTGGTCCTTTCTAGTCTTTGATGCTTTGGGTCTTTTTTTGTTTTGTGTCATTTTTTCTCCTCTCAGAGAGTCCTCCTTAAAATTTCTTGCAGGGCTGGTTTAGCGGTCATGAACTCCTTTAGTTTTTGTTGTCTGGGAAACTCTTTATCTCTCCTTCTATTTTGAATGACAGCCTTGCCAGATAAAAAATTCTTGGCCGCATATTTTTCTGATTCAGCACATTGAATATATCCTGCCACTCCTTTCTGGCCTGCCAATTCTATGGATAGGTCTGCTGCGAACCTGATCTGTCTTCCTTTATAGGTTAAGACTTTTTTCCCTTGCTGCTTTCATGATTCTTTCCTTGCCTGAGTATTTTGTGAATTTGACTATGATATGCCTTGATTGTCAGTTTTGTTGAATCTAATGGGAGTTCTCTGTGTTTCTTGGATTTTGATGTCTGTGTCTTTCCACAAATGAGGAAAGGTTTCCACTATAATTTGCTCACATAAAAACCTTCTACCCCTTTTTCTGTCTCTTCATCTCCTTGGACTCCTATGATTCAGATGTTATTCCTTTGTAATAAGTCACTGAGTTCTCTAATTCTTATAATGTGCTCCTTTGCATTAGTTTCCCTCTTTTTTACTGCTTCATTATTCCTACAAGTTTATCTTCTATATCCCCCCCCATTCTCTTGAAAAAGAAGAAAGGCTAAAATGGATTTAATATCAATCATAGTGACATGAAGCTTCCATAAAATCTCCAAAATACAGGGTTTAGGGAACTTCTGGGCAGGTGAACACATCCACATTGACACACCAAATACACGGGGACAGAAGCTCTTGTGCTTAGGACCCTCCCAGACCTCACCCTATATATCTCTTCATCTGGCTGTTCATTGGTATCCTTCATCATATATCCTTTAATTAACTGGTAAACATAAATGTTTCTCCAAGTTCTGTGAGCTACTCTGGCAAATTAACCAAACCCAAGGAAGGGGTGGTTGGAACTTACAGTCTATAGCCAATTGATCAGAAACACAGGTGATAGATAACCTGGTCTTGTGACTGGCATCTGAAGGTGGTAGGAGGAATGGGGGAAGATACTTATGGGACCGAGCCCTTAAACTGTGGGATCTGACACTGTCTTCAGGTAGAGGTGTCAGAACTGAGTTGAGTTCTTGGATACCCTGCTGGGTGTACAAGAATTGCTTGTTGGTGTGGGTAAAAACCTCCACACATTTGGTGACTAGAGTGCCAGAAGTGAGGTATTCTTTGAAAAGGTAAAAAAGACACACAGGTGACAAACAGTGGGGAGGAACTGGATTTTTCCCTACATGGGAAGGAAAATGGAGTTTTTCCATTATATATGGTCTTTAGCCTTTCTGTGCATGCAGTTATGTAAGTATGATGCGCAGTTTATATACTCGTGCCAGAAATTCCCATATTTCAGCTGGGAAGCATATTGGGACAGGATGTTTTCCAAAGGGAACTCTGTCCTTCATTTTATGATTAATTGGCAACTGTGTCTGAAACCATTTCTTTTGGTTAGCATACCTAAGTATTGCATTGGATTGAGGTTTTAAGACATAAGTGATTTTTCACTTTCAGAAATATTTATGTTTTTAATCTTTTAAAAAGTATAGAAATTAGCTTATTTGGACTATTGTCACTCTGCTGAGGTGAACTGCAGAGGAACGGGAGTAAAACCAGCGTTGTCTCTGGATCCCTGCCTTCTTCATGTCTACTCTTCCATCACAACCCTCAAATGTAGATATTTTAAACACACTTTGAAATCCCCTACATAGTCATTATAGAGTGGCTTGTAAGCACTATGGTGAACATGAAATTTTTACCCATTTTCTTACTGTTAGTCTTTTTGTTATACTTGCAGAAATATTTTTCTCTTTCCCTTTTTATAGTGTCCAAATAACTTCTTCCATGACAGTCAGAATCCTAGATCACTTTTTGCTGTTTATGCTGTAAAGACATGAAATTAACACATCAGATAAATTTCACACTCCCCCCCCCTTCCTGAGCAGATTGATGTAAATTGAATTTCACATTAATCAGACAGAGCAATATACATCTTCTATCCAGTTGAAATTTATGATTTTCACTTACTTAAGAAAAGTGCTATAGGCTTTCTATTTCTTTCACTATTTAAACATTGGTATTTTGGGAGCTTTTTCTTACCTGCATTGCTACCTGATTTATTATCCCTATTTCCTCTAAAATTTTTATTTCAAGGTTATTCTGTCTCATACTAGATAATTTATTTCCATCAAATTAAACTCCATGTATAAATGTTTATATTACCACCTATATTGTACTTTTATCACAAAAATATCAGTCTGTTAATCAAATATTGAGTACCTACATTAATACAGTAGAAGGAAGCAATTAAATACAATGAAATCCACTACTGGCAGAGTTGTTAGTGTTTATCCTGAATTTCATTATTTCAGTGGACTCTACTCTCACTAATTGGTTGTTTCATCCAATGCCTCTGACATAGGTTAAATTCTATAATACTAGAATAGTCTTTTTCAAACTAAGGGTTTTAACCCATTAATGGGACCTGAAATCAGACTCAAGATGACCTGTTTTTTAAAGAAATGGAATGCATCAGAAATGTCAGAATGCACCTCTGGTAGTAAGGGTAAATATTGTTTGGTGAAACTTTTGTTTCATTTAGATATGTTTTTGTTTCAAACATACACATATACCTATAAACTTGTATGTTGAGCCACGGTGTAACATTTTTCTTACTATAGGTGCCAGTCAAAAAAGATTTAAAAGTCACTTAAACATTTAACAACTCTAGAAATGTTCTCCTGACTCAGTGACTTAAGAACTTTATGATTTTTTTTTATGTAACCCCAAAGAGTCTTTGAGGAGTGTTAAGCATTATGGATGTTCAACAGAAATGGGTATACAAATTGTATTCTAGAGAACATATTCGAGTCACTTTTACAAGATAAAATCAAGTAGGTGTCTAGATAATAGATTTTAAACCTCAAAACTGACCCCTGATGCAATATAATAAGTTCCAAACTCTATAGCTTACTTATTCAGGGACAGTAATTATCCACTTATAGTGCTCAGAGACCTCCATGCTTGAATTCTCAAATGGCTGTCAGAAAAATGTCTCTTAATGGAGATCCCCTTTGGGAAGGGAGTGTAGCAAGCATTACCCAACTCCACTCAGTGATGTCTCCTAATGTCATGAAGTATCTGGGAATCAAAAAAAGGTCTTCCTTACAAAGAGAATTAACCAGACTCATTACTAGACTCTGAATGAGTTCCATGAGGGCAAGTGCCTTATCTCTGACACGTCTTTCACACTTGTCTAGTGTTTAGCAAGGCAGTGTTTCATTCATTCAGTTTAAGCATTTGGTAAATGAATCCTTCTCTTTAGAGATCCTGTGTCTGATCAAGTTCTTTCCTAAGATCCACCCTCCTGGTTTCATACTGACTTTTGTAAGTCTTATACTTAATTTGTTATTGACAGTTCACTTGTTAAATCTTGTTCCATTCCCTTTCTCCCAAACCTGTCTTCATTTGCAAGCATGGCTGAAATCTCCCTTATGCATTCATCTTTTTTTTTAAAAAATTTTTTTTTTTTCAACATTTATTTATTTTTGGGACAGAGAGAGACAGAGCATGAACGGGGGAGGGGCAGAGAGAGAGGGAGACACAGAATCGGAAACAGGCTCCAGGCTCTGAGCCATCAGCGCAGAGCCCGACGCGGGGCTCGAACTCCCGGACCGCGAGATCGTGACCTGGCTGAAGTCGGACGCTTAACCGACTGCGCCACCCAGGCGCCCCTGCATTCATCTTTTTAAAAGTAGTTATTTAGGGGCTCCTGGGCCGCCCAGTCAGTTAAGCATTCAACTCTTGATTTCGGTTGAGGTCATGATCTAACGGTTCATGAGTTCAAGCACCGAGTCATGCTCACGCTCACAGCACAGAGCCTGCTTGGGATCCTCTCTCTCTCCCTCTCTCTCTCTGCCCCTCTCCCACTCACTTGCACGTGTGGTCTCTCTGTCTGTCTCAAAGTAAGTAAACTTAAAAAAAAATAAATGTAGTTCTTTATATGCCTGTTCTCTTTGCTCCCTTTTACTATTTTATGGTAATTTAGAAAATGTAGTATGTCTTTGTGACATGATAGAATTCCTTCTTCTGAGGTAATGTCTTAAGGTACTAATGCCCTCTACTAGCAGACCTTTTGCACCAGGGAATTTGATAAAGTGATTCCATTTTAGCTTAAATAAAAGGATAAGCTGGAGGTAAGATGGAGTATTTCTGGGACTCCTTTAGGCTTGTCTCATTTATATTATCAACTAACAAGCGATAAATGGCTTCTTTTTTTTAACGGAAGAACTTTGTTGCTTAGAAAACAACAACTGGCCACTGAATATAACCGGAAACAAGTTCTCCGACACCACTTTACAGAATGGCAGCATTGGCATCGTGCAGAGGTCCTAAAGAGAGAGCTGGCGCAAACTAAGAAGGAAACCAGGAAGAGAATGAATGAGCTGCTGATGGCAGCATCACTAGGGAAACTCAGTGCAAATGGGTCACCTGGCATCAGTCTACTTGAGGAAGCAGCAGCCATGGTGGATGCACCTGTAAGAAATGGAGAGGTACAATGTTTTTCCTTTGCTTGGCCTTCTACTTATTAAACACTGGCATCTGAACTCTGCACTTGTATAGCCTAGGATATATTAGCCACTGTCAGATTGCCTTGACTGGGCTATCTAAAAGATGAGAGCTGTTTATAGTACACAAAGGTTACCTTTCAGTCAGTGTTTATTTTCTTGAACTGAATCTTGTTTTTATATATCACATATAAACTTTGGTATAGTTGAGACTCGGTAGGGACATAATATAGAGAGGGAATTTACAATAAATGAAAGACTCTTTCACAAATAGATAAAGATTGTTTATACCTTTTGAATTCCTCTTACTTGATCATCAGACATTTCCTTTCTAACTGAGCTTACGATATATATATATATATATATATATATATATATATATATATATATATATATATATATATATATATATATATATGGAATTTTAAAGTTTTTGTCTAATAAGAAAATCATATATTAATTATTGTAATTTGATAGGAGAAAATGAGAGAGGAAAAAGAAAAGTAGCCTATAATTCCATCATCTGGAGATAACCACCAGTAACATATTGAAATACAGCCATATAGTCTTTTCTCTATTCATGCATATGTAAATTTTTCTCTTTAATATTTATATAACTTAACGTTTCTTCAAGTGACTGAAGATATCTAGTTTTTCATAATACAGAGAAAGTAAGGCCATTTTTTTCCTTCTTAATAACTATATCACTATGCTGTTTTTCTAAAAAAATAATTCATAATTTTATACTATAACGTGAATTTTCTATGCCACTAAATCTACTTCTGCAACAGTAGTTCTCAACTGAGAGTAAACCACAGATGAGACCTGTTAAATCAGAATTTCTGGTTGTTGGGCGCCTGTATTTTTTTTAAGTTTCACAAATGACCCTGATGAATACCCCTTGGTGAAGCACTACCATTCTGTACCATCATTTTGTAATGGCTGTGGATACTCTATCGTGAACCCTAAGCTAGGATATGTTTACCTTTTTCTCTATTGCCGGACATTTAAGTTGTTTCCAGTTTGACGCTATTGCGAACAGTTCTTCAGTGCTTCAGTGAACATCATTGTAACGAAATCTTTGCACGCATCCATTTTTACTTAAATGCTTTGTACTTAGGATAAATACCTAAAAATAGAATGCCCATTTAAAGACTTACCAAATTGCCCTTCCACAAAGGTTGTGCCAAAGAAATGCCTATTTTCCTGTCTAATAACACATTTTTCATTTTTGCTAAGTTGATAGGTAAAATATTTTTATCTTATTGTTGCTTCAACATTTGCATTTTTTTATTAGTGAGGTTAAATATTTTCTTAATGAGCTTTTTTTATTTTATTTACATCCATATTAGTTAGCATATAGTGCAACAATGATTTCAGGAGTAGATTCCTTAATGCCCCTTACCCATTTAGCCCGTCCCCCCTCCCACAACCCCTCCAGTAACCCTCTGTTTGTTTTCCATATTTAAGAGTCTCTTGTGTTTTGTCCTCCTCCCTGTTTTTATATTATTTTTGCTTCCCTTCCCTTGTGTTCATCTGTCCTGTGTCTTACAGTCCTCATATAAGTGAAGTCATATTATATTTGTCTTTCTCTAATTTTGCTTAGCATAATACCCTGTAGTTCCATCATGTAGTTGTGAATGGCAAGATTTCATTCTTTTTGACTGCTGAGTAATACTCCATTGTATATATATACCACATCTTCTTCATCCATTCATCCATCGATGGATATTTGGGCTCTTTCCATACTTTGGCTAATGTTGATAGTGCTGCTATAAACATGGGGGTGCATGTGCCCCTTCAAAACAGCATACCTGTATCCCTTAGATAAATACCTAATAGTGCAATTGCTGGGTCATAGGGTAGTTCTATTTTTAATTTTTTGAGGAACCTCCCTACTGTTCTCCAGAGTGGCTGCACCAGTTTGCATTCCCACGAGCAGTGCAAAAGAGCTCTTTTTCCGCATCCTCACCAACATCTGTTGTTGCCTGAGTTGTTTGGACAGGTGTGAAGTGGTATCTCATTGTGGTTTTGATTTGTATTTCCCTGATGATGAGTGATGTTGAGCATTTTTTCCTGTGTCGGTTGGCCATCTGGATGTCTTCTTTGGAGAAGTGTCTATTCATGTCTTTTGCCCATTTCTTCACTGGATTATTTGTTTTTGGGGTGTTGAGTTTGGTAAGTTCTTTATAGATTTTGGATACTAACCCTTTATCTGATAGGTCATTTGCAAATATCTTCTCCCTTTCCATCAGTTGCCTTTTAGTTTTGCTGATTGTTTCCTTTGCTGTGCAGAAGCTTTTTATTTTGACGAGGTCCCAGTAGTTCATTTTTGCTTTTGTTTCCCTTGCCTCTGGGGACGTGTTGAGTAAGAAGTTGCTGCAGCCAAAGTCAAAGAGGTTTTTGCCTGCTTTCTCCTCAAGGATTTTGATGACTTCCTGTCTTACATTGAGGTTTTTCATCCATTTTGAGTTTATTTTTGTGTATGGTGTTAGAAAGTGGTCCAGGTTCATTCTTCTGCCTGTCGCTGTCCAGTTTTCCCAGCACCACTTGCTGAAGAGACTGTCTTTATTCCATTGGATATTCTTTCCTGCTTTGTCAAAGAT